CTCCGGCGTCCAGTCTACGGTCTCCGCCAGGCGCCACGTGAGTGGCACGACACACTGAGGACTACGCTTGCGGCACTTGGGTTTGCTCCTTCTACTGCCGACCCGTCGCTGTTTCTGCGCACCGACACCTCTCTGCCGCCGTTCTACATCCTCGTGTACGTTGACGACTTGGTCTTTGCCACAGCTGACAGTGCTGGACTCGCCTACGTGAAGTCCGAGCTGCAGAAGAGACACACGTGCACTGACCTGGGTGAACTGCGCAGCTACCTTGGCTTGCAGATCACCCGGGACAGAGCACGCCGCACCATTACCCTGACTCAGTCACACATGGTGCAGCAGGTCCTTCAGCGCTTCGGCTTCACGTACTCCTCGCCTCAGGCCACTCCTCTGCCTACTCGCCACTCGCTCTCAGCTCTGCCTTCGGATGAGTCCGTAGAGTCGAGTGGCCCGTATGCAGAGCTTGTTGGCTGCCTCATGTACCTGATGACCTGCACACGACCTGACCTTGCATACCCTCTCAGCATTCTCGCACGCTATGCTGCTCCTGGGAGACACCGACCAGAGCACATGGCTGCAGCGAAGAGGGTGTTGCGCTACTTGTGCAGTACGTCGGGCATGGGGCTAGTGCTTGGAGGGCGCAGTCCAGTGGTCCTCACTGGGCATGCGGACGCTTCTTGGGCTGACGACCAGGCTACGCAGCGGTCGTCACAGGGTTACACCTTCGGTCTTGGTTCCGGCTCTGTTTCGTGGCGGGCTACTCGCTCGTCTTCTGTTCTCGGCTCCAGTTGTGAGGCTGAGATCTACGCCGGGGCTATGGCTGCTCAGGAGCTTCGCTGGCTCACCTACCTGCTGACCGACCTTGGAGAGCCGCCTCGTTCTCCTCCAGTCCTGTACGTAGACAACAAGGCCATGCTGGCCTTGTGTCGAGAGCAGCGACTGGAGCACAGGACAAAGCACATTGCTCTCCGCTACTTTCTTGCTCGTGAGCTATAGCAGCGTGGACAGTTGCGACTTGCGTACGTGGCCTCTGAGGCCAACACTGCTGATGTCTTCACCAAGGCACTTGCGCCTTGTGATCATCAGCGTTGCTGCACGCAACTAGGTCTTGTGCCTGTCTTGCCTCACTTGCTCACTTCTTGACCTTGCTTGTACCTTGACCTATATATACTCTTGCTCTTGTTTGCTTGACTCTTGTATATCTCTATATATGATCTTACATGTGAACTGGCCTTGTGGCCCTTGAACTTGTGCTCGGAATGTGTGGTGACTTTGTGATCCACCCTGAGCTTTGCTTTGCTTTGCTTGACTGGTCTTGTGACCCCTTGTTCTCCCCCACTTTGCCTATGGGGGTGTGTCAGAACATTATTGCTTACTTATTTGTGTAGGCTATAGTGGGGTATCCCATAGGGGGTACAACCCAATTAGGGTTTCATATTTGTACTCACTTCATTCATAGTTCATTCATTCTCGTTCTTTCTTTCACACTAGGAACAGTTCCCACGAGGGAACCTGCTCGATACCATGAGGAAATGCAAACGAGAATGAATGAACTATGAATGAAGTGAGTACAAGTACTAACCCTAATTGGGTTGTACCCCCTATGGGATACGCCACTATAGCCTACACAAAAGCATAAGCTATATATGTTCTGACAGCGTGCGTCAAAGAAAGCACGATTGGAAAAAGGTAAACTTTAAAATCTGAACGCTGGTCGACTTCAGTTTAGTGTCCAACTTCCTTCACACAGTTTGAACCAGGACACACGATTCCCTCGCGAATGTTTTGGCGAGAGTAACGAAACGGGTTACCAGCAAAAGTTCGGCCCTATTTTCGAACGTCTACACCAAAAGACACGCGCCATAATCTCGCTTGCAGTGTAGAACGAAAAATGTTGTCTTTCATTTCGGCATTAAACATAATTTATTTTGTATTTTTCTGCCCGTTTGTCCTGCGACACTGATCAACGCGGCGAACCGTGTGATGAGAAGTTGAAAACAGCCTAGTCCGAATGTACATATGTGACAGGAAAACACGACAAGTAGCGAAGGAAAATCGCTCTTCTTGCAATTTTCCTTATATGGGTCTGTAAGTTCCCTTTTGCCCGCAGTTTGTGAGGTTTCTACAAAGGCCCGCAGTACGCATGTTTTTCACGTGGACTCTAATCGAGGACATCTGTATGACCTTGGCGTTTTGGAAAACAGTGGAGTAGCGAGCTCCACGAATCATGAATCGTACGGCATACTGCATTCTGACAGTACGCGAACAGTGCTGCTCGACACGTGGCAAGCGAGTGATGTTAGGAGTGACGAGGGTATGCGATGGAGGAGGGTAACGGAAATGCCGACGAAAATGACCAATTTGGGACCGGAGAACAGCAGAAAAGTGGTCGAATTAGGGCAGGGTGAGTCGCACCCCCTCGAAGCAGTGCCGAACCAGCGCCGCAACTGTCAACAGGAGTGTTGTTTGGCCCCGTCCTCGCTTGGGCGGAGCCAACCTCGTGGTTGGATGTGCGGGGGTTACAGCCAACCTGCAGCAGTGGGCACGGGGGCCACTGCAAGGGCGCCGAGCTGGAGGACGCCTAGCTGGAGGGCGCCGAGCAGGAGGACGCCGTCCTGGACGCCTGGACAGCGTCCCGGGAAGCTGTACGCCGACCTGGGCGTCGGCACGACTACCCGGGCGCCTAATCGGCATCGTGGGCGCCTGCACGACGTCCTGGAAGGCCAGACGCCGATTTAGGCGTCTGCACGGCGTCCTATGAGTCTGGGACGCCGACCTGGGTGGCTGGTCGGCGTCTTGGGAGGACGGACGCTGCTCTGGAGGTCTGCACGGTGTCCTGGGCGTCTGGACGCCGACCTGGGGTTCGGACGGCGTCCTAGGCGGCTGGGCGCCGGACTGGGGACGCTGGGCATTGGTGGCCGGCTACGGACTGTGGTTGACCAGGCGTGGTTGCCCGGTCGACCGGGATACCCAGGCGACGTGCGCGAGTGTCGCCGGGGTGGAGTTTGCGAGGCCGACCTTGAGGGTGGTATCCCGAGGTCGATGTGGCTGGTGGGCGCAGTCGCTGGCGTGGAGTTTGCCAGGCGTCTATGCTGTGCGCGTGACAAGAAAGTGCGCACCAACCAGCTGCACGCATTTGCGAAGCAGGTGCACCGTTCTCCTGCGGGTGCAACGCTGTACAGCCGACTTGCTGCAGCGTTGGCACACCGTGGACTTGCAACGTTGGCGCGCCGCTACTCTGCAACGCTGGAGCGGTGCGAGCTCTGCTGCGCTGGAGCGCGGTCGACCGTGCTGCGCTGGAGGTCAACCAACAGCCTAGCTAGCTCTGATGTAGTCTGTGTTGCCAATGTTGTTGCACCCATTGTTGTCAATCTTTGCTATTGAAACTCTTGCAAAATCCCCCCGTGAATGTGCAAGCAGAGAATACACAAGCAAACGACTAAGGAACGCAGAGATCACACGAGCACCCGTGCCTAGCCCGTAGTCTAGCTCCCGTTGCTGCAGTTATCTTCGCAGCAACTAGCCCAAATCTAAACACCCAACAAGCTGACAAAAGTTTGTTCAGAAACAGGTCAACCCTAATCACCTTGTCGCAAAGAGTTTAGGGTTGATTATCCCTAAAAGCATGCCATCCAATAGGGGTTTATTTTTGTTATGGCTCGGAAGTTAATAATTTAGGCTCATACGCATGTTCGAACCTTCGTACTAGGGGTGGGACTCACGCGGCCCTAATTCTGCCACCTCTCTGCTAATGTTCGGCCCCTCGATGATCTCTTCCCAAATGCCGATGTGATGAGTTTTCCTGGTTGGCTTTGATAATGTACTCGCCAAGGTGCTGCTCTATAGTGTGCGGTTCCAGTGGCAAATAAACATTAGTACACATGAATAAAAATGAATTAGGTCCATTTAGCTTATGTTTTTGTCAGATAGAAGCTTTAAGGCTTCATCAATGGACGCTTCTAAAAGTTTAGGTGACCTAGAAAGGATTCGGACAGTGACCTGCAACACAAAGCAACAATATTTAGGAACAAATGATGTAGCAACCAAGGGGTGATGCTGCAAGCCATGCAATCTTCACATGGCCATCTTGATCTGATGACAAGCTTGGTGTGGATTGGTAGCATGTGAGTACCCCTTAGCAGATTTGCCCCACACACCAATCACCCAGTGGTCTGTCTGCACGCCCTGATCCTGCCGGATCATTTTCCCAGCCTGCCATATACGTTACCCCGCAATATACAGCAATGTAATATGTACATCAGCCAAATGAAAGAAAAGAAAACAAACCACAGCCCAAACGAGTGTTGCGAACTACATGCATTCCCCCATCTAACTACCATCAACCAACCTCGGAGGTGAGTTTGAGGGTGGCGGTGGTGCATGTGGTGTAGAGTACAGGGCTGGGGCTGCTGAAGGGGCTCGACACGAGGGTTGACAGAGAGCGCGTGGCGGAGGCCAGTGCCGCCACGCGTTGGGAGCAGGTGTTGCCGTTCTGACACTCCGTCATCACATTCTCCATAGCCAAGTATATCCGCCACGTTGACATGGGTACATGGAGTCACAAGGATTGAGCCATGATCAGCGCAAACGACGACAGGAAGGAAGGCATAGTCAGGAATGGAGAATGCAGCGTTGTAATTATGACGCATGCGCGTTTTCTACATCGACTTGAGACTCGTGATAGTCCATGGGGGAGGTGAGGCTGACGGTAGGGAAGCAACGGTAGGCATGCTGTGTGGAGGTTGGGGAGGAAGAGAGGGGTGCGATGTGCGGAGCAATCCAGCAAGCGTGGAGCCGTGGAGGGGTGGCTGGGGCGATGAGGCCCATTCGGCCGCGGGCGGAGGCACCTGCGTGTTCCCAACAACTACGTCACGCGCAACTACGTTGCTAGTAGCAGCACTGGGAGGCAGGAACTGGAATGGCGGTTCATGCATCTATTGCAGCTGCTGCTCCACATGTCCCTCATGGCCCCCCCGCCCGCCAGCAGCAAGTGTACGGTGTGACTATAGCAGGGGTGACTGCAGAATGCAAATCAGCTGCTCCCTCGCTGCTGCCGCACCTAGAAGTCTCCCACTACTGTTGGGCACTTGATTGTTCTTCCTTGGCACCTGACCATAATCCTCTGCAGCCTCGATGGTGCTGCCTGGCGCATGGCCATGCCCAAGCACATGGGCAGGGAAGCTGTTCCTTGTAGGGATGGCATGCGGTGGCAACGAAAGCGCGGGGCCGAGGGCAGCGAGAAGGAGAGCAGATGCACCAGCGCGTGCACTGCGGCCGTGGGGGCACACGCACTAGAGGACGTGTTAGCAGGCACACCCACTGCAACAGCCACACTCCCCGCTGCACCCGGTGTAACCACGGTAGCAGCCGTAGGAGGGCGAGGTGTGGCGGTAGTGGCAGCGGTAGTGTTGGCCGCGGAAGTGGAGAGAAGCGGTGAAGGGCGGGGCGCAGGAGGGGTGGAAGGAGGGTCATCCGTGGAGCCACAGCTGCTGCTCACGTGCACACTGCGCGGGGGAGCGGCGTGGATCGCGGGGGTCATGCACGATCCGCGCGTCGCCGCGTTGCCATCAGCTTGATCCTCAATCCTCGGCATCTCTGTTGGAGGTGAGTCGGGGAGCACGATTTGTCAACGGGAGTTGTGTGTTGGCCCCGTCCTCGCCTGGGCTGAGCCAACCTCGTGGTTGGGTGTGCGGGAGGTGCAGCCGACCTGCTGCAGTAGGCAACGTCGACTTAGGCGCGCAGGTCGGCGGGTTTGGTCGACCTGCACAGGGCCACTGCAAAGCCGCCGATTTTGGAACGCCAGCAACCGACTTCAACCGAGGTCGATGAGGAGGGCTCGTGGACTAGGGAGGGGCGCCGACTCAGGAGGGCGCCTGCTCAGGGAATTCAACCTGGTGAGGTCGACCTCGGAGGGCGCCAACCTGATGGCGCCGACCTAGACAGTCTGGTCGACCTAGAGGTGGTTGACCTGCAGTGTAGCCGACTTGGGAGGTCGGCTGGTGGTGGCCAACGACGTGGATGGACGACGGGCACGAGAAGAAGCAGTTGGTCAACGTAGTTGCCCGGTCAACCAGATTACTCGGGCGACGGGGTTCAGCGGAGGAGCGCGACAGTCGCCTAGGTGGTTTTGCCGAAGCCAATGTGAGAAAAGTGCAAGTGAAAATGGAATGGACTAGGAAACAGGTGGGTACAAGTAGTGAACCTAAAAGTGTTGTACCCCATATTATCTACCCACTACAGCCTATACAGACTAAAGCATATAAGTTTGACACACCCCCATAGGCAAAGTGGGGGAGAACAAGAGGTCACAAGACAAGTCAAGGAGAGCAAAGCAAGCTCAGGGTGGATCACGACGTCAACACACATTCCGAGCACAAGCAAGCGGCCACAAGGCCAGTTCACACGAAGAGTTATATAAAGTAGAACAAGCAAGACAGTGATCACAACCTAGCAAGTGTAAGCATGCAGGTATATAAATATATAGAGATCACAGTACAAGCAAAGTCAAGAAGTGAGCAAGTGAGGCCAAGTGGGGACAAGGCCTAGAACAGTACAGAACCGCTGATGATCACAAGGCTGAAGTGCCTTGGTGAAGATATCAGCCGTGTTGGCCTGAAAGTCCACGTAAACAAGATGGATCTGACCACGCTGCTGCAACTCTCGAGCTGTCCAGTCTTTGCTCGCGACACAAGGCAAGCATTGCCTTGTTGTCGACGTACAGATTTGGAGGAGAACGAGGCGCCTCGCCCAGGTCGGTCAGCAGGTAGGTGAGCCAGCGTAGCTCCTGTGCAGCCATGGCCTGTGCGTAGATCTCAGCCTTACAGCTGGAGCAGAGAACAGAAGACGAGCGGGTAGACCGCCACGAGACAGAACCGGAGCCAAGGCTGAAGGTGTAACCCTGTGACGACCGCTGCGTAGCCAAGTTGTCAACCGAAGAAGCGTCTGTGTGACCAGTGAGAACAACTGGACCTCGTCCTCCAAGCACAAGCCTCATGCCCGACGTACTGCACAAGTAGCGCATCACCCTCTTAAATGCCTTCGAGTGCTCTGGTCGGTGTCTCCCAGGCGCAACGTAGCGTGCAAGGATGCTAAGAGGGTAAGCAAGGTCAGGACGAGTGCAGGTCATCATGTACATGAGGCAGCCCACAAGGTCTGGATATGGGCCACTCGGCTCTAAGGACTCATCCAAAGGCAAAGCTGAGAGCGAGTGACCGGTAGGCAGAGGAGTGGACAGTGGCGAGGAGTACTGGAAGTCGAAGCGCTGAAGGACCTGCTGCACCATGTGTGACTGAGTCAGGGTGATGGTGCGGCATGCTCTGTCCCGAGTGATCTGCAAGCCAAGATAGCTGTGCAGCTCACCCAGGTCTATGCACGTGTGTCTCTTCTGCAGCTCCGACTTCACTAGAGTCAGTGCCTCTGTGTCAGAAGTGGTAAAAACCAAGTCGTCGACGTACACGAGGATGTAGAACGGAGGCAGCGAGGTGTCAGTGTGTAGAAAATGCAACGGGTCAGTAGTAGAAGGAGGAAACCCAAGAGCCGCAAGAGTCGTCCTCAGTGTATCGTGCCACTTGAGAGGCGCCTGGCGAAGACCGTAGACTGGCTGCCGGAGGCTCCGTCACGTTGAGCAGAGACGTGCAGCAGCACCCTGAAAATCCCTGTCCCTGACTGAAGCCTCAAGCAACGTAACGCGCCTTGAAGACAGGCGGAGAACCCGGTGGCCGCTTCACCCTGAAAATCCTCATGCCATCAACAATGTTCGCCCCATGTGGGGGAACCTCGTCGACGTAAGTGCCTATGGACTTCCAGAAAGCCATCTCTGCATCCATAGCTGTCTGCCACAGAGAGGAGTAGGGACCCTGAACCGCCTCTGCGTAAGAGCGCGGGGTTGGGATGTCTGATGCATCCAGGTCTCCCTCAGGGGCAAGCATCATGGACACGAGATGAGGTAACGCAGTAGCAAAACACGAGAACTCCTCCTGCCTATCCTCAAGGACGTCCGTGCCAAGAGCACACTCACCCCCGACGGACCGAGGACAGACAGACTCAGACTCAGCAACAAGACTAGCAGCGTAGTCTAGACGACAGCGAGCAGCAAAGTCGACAAGCTCAGCAAGTAAGGCAGACGCAGGAGTGGACTCAAAGGAAGGGTCAGTGACAATGGTGGCCAGGAGACGCGTGACATTAGGACTAGCAGCACAAAGGGAGTCAGACTCCGGGTCAGCAAGGGTAGGAAGAGAGGACTCAGGAGGAGACGACAGAGGGACACGCTGCGAAGCAGTGGAAGGTCGCAATGCCATGTGGTGCGTGCGGGGGACAGGAGGCGGACGCTGACGTGAACCATGACGACTAGTGCGAGCAGCACGAACAGGCGATGCAGGACGAGACTCAGGCTCATGACGCTCCGTAAGACCTTCGGTCGGACCAGTGCAAGGAGAAGGAGCAGGCAGTGGGGAGGCGGGTTGTAACTGTGACTGGGACTGGACAGGCGGTGGACACTCTAAGGAAGAAGCAGGACCAGTAGAAGGCGAGAGACCAAGAACCTGCTGAAGGAGCGGAACGAAGTACGGCCGCGGCCGCGCAGCGCCTCGAGAACCAGCAGAGAGCACCAGCACCCCCTGCGGCAGCTCCAACTCCCGCAGCACCTCCAGCTCTAGTAGCTCAACCAGCAGCTCCAGCAGCGTCAACCCTAGGACCTCCAGCAGCACCGCCTGCTCCAGCAACTCCAGCAGCTCAAGCTCCAGCAGCACCACCAGGCCCAGCAGCTCCTGTACCTCCAGTACGAGCACCTCCAAGACTAGTGGCTCCAGATTCCCCAGCAGCTCCAGCAGTAGCAGGACCCCCAGCACCAGTAGCACCACCAGCTCCAGCAGCACGGCTCCAACGGCAAGCAAACCACTCGCACAGCTGCTGTGGAAAGAGTGCCTCCCGCCGGGACGAAACACCCAAAAGACCTCCAAGCTCAGCACCCCCAGGCTCCACACGCGCCGGCTCAGTACCCTCAGGCTCCGCACCCCCAGACTCAGCAACCCCAGGCTCAGTACCCCCAGTCTCAGCACCCGCAGGCTCAGCACCCCCAGACTCTCGACCCCCAGGCTCCGCACGCTCAGGCTCAACACCCTCAGACTCAGCACCCCCTGGCTCAGCACCCCCAGACCCGGCACTCGCAGGCTCAGAACCCCAAGCAGCACCAGTGTCAACTGCAACCTCGACAGGCTCGACTGCGTCTACCTGGGACACACCTGAGGGGGCAGGACCTAGAGGGGGGAGGGGGTCTAACGGGGGAGGACCTGGCGCTAGGAAGAGCGATGGGGGGGGGAGGGGGGCAGTGCGGTAGGGGAAGAGACGGTAGTGAGGAACCAACTCGTCAAACGTGACGTCCTGAGAGGACAGAACACGGCGCGAGGTGGGGTGGTAAAACAGCCAACCAGACGCGTCAGGGGGGAAGCCAAGGAAGACGCAGGGAACAGCACGGGAGGACAGCTTATCCGCAGACAAGTCGTGGACAAAAGCTCGAGATCCCCAGTCACGTAACGCTGACGCATCGCCAACCTTCCCCGTCCACCGCAGAGTAGGTGTGGTCTCCGCCATGGAGACCCGGGGCTGGAGGTTGAGCTGACGTGCAGCGTACTGAACCACGAACGGCCACAGAAAATGGGGATTAGCCACATGGATCATGGACGTACGAGCGATGTCCATGACCATGCCAATGCGGCGCTCAGCAATCCCATTTTGCTACGGAGAGGTAGGAAGCGTGAACGTCTGGTGGATGCCCTTCGCATGACAGAAGGCTCGCAGAAGGTCAGACGAAAACTCTCCACCTCTGTCGGAGTGCAGACGCAAAACAGGAAGGTCCGAGCTGAAACTCTCGTTGAGCTGACGACGGGCAGCGCGGATCCTGTCGATCAGCACCAAAGTGACCTCACCTTTGCGGCGCAAGGGGAAGACTGTGGTGTAGCACGAGTAGTCGCTAACGACCAGCAGAAAGTAGCGCTCGTGACCCTGTCCACGGACGCAGGCTAGGCCCCACAAGTCCATGTGAAGAGTCTGTAAGGGAGTCTCCGTTGGAGGGAACTCGGAGGAGTGAGGAGCGGCACGCTGCCGCCCCTCGACGTAAGGAACGCAGGTAGGGGCAGGCCCCGAGGGAAGGGGAGGGAGAGACCGGGGCAGACTAGTAACAAGGACACGGGAGGCCATGCCTTGCACGGGAGGCAGGGAGGGGTGACCAAGGCGGTGGTGCCAGAGAAGAGTCTGGTGAGACAGGAGGCGATACGAGCAGGGGGCAGACTCAGGACCTGACCGGGACGTTGCAGCAAACACCTGACCAGACGCGACTACCTGACCAGACCCGGTAACTAGAGAAGAGCGTAGAGAGGGTGTTTAGGCTCGGCCCAGGCTGACGAGTAAACGTGGCCAGGTGCCGGCTCGTACGAGTACACGTACAGTGGGTCACCCGCTGACCTCCAGGAGTGAACTAGTCAACCCACGCGTTCTGAAGGTCAGCTCCAATCACCAAGATCGTAGAGAACGAGGGGAGGTGGAGGCCAGACAGAGAGCCAGATGGGACCGCCGGACACGGCAGAACAGTGGAGGAGT